GTCTTACCTGACTTCTTCTTTCCAATGGGTTCCCTGTTAAAGAGAGGAAACCATCAAATTACTGATGCGAAATATGGAATGAGTTTGCAGAGCAAGAAGGTGCTCCTGATCTAACAAATGCTTATATCAATGCCTAATAATTCACAACAACTCACGGATTTTCTAAAACAAAAAGCAGCAGTCCTGATTAGTGAATCAGACTTACTTTCAGTGATTTCTGTTTTTTTTAAGCTATATTTCACTGCAAGGAATTTAATCTTGTGTTTAAAAAGGTATTGGCTTGATTGTATTTCTGCATTTACTTCCTTCGTTTCCTGGCACTAATGTGGCTTTTTAGATAAATCTTATTTAATCTGATAAGATTTGGGTATGAAGCTTTGTTATGGGATCACAACACATACACTGAATACTCCAGCTCCTCCAAGAGTTAACAATAATTATTAACATTTTCTTAAATCTATTGATATGCAACAGAGGAGCAAAGGATTCATCTATGTCTCTCTCCAGTCTAGGCCAATGTGAAAAAAGAGCCTCTAGATAGCTGATATCTCTCTAAAAATTGGGCTAATGTTAAATTCAATACAGCATCTGCTGTGTCTGGTTTCGACATTAGCCAGATAAATAGACCATCACTCCTCAGCAGCAGTCAGGAGCTGATTCAACGACCAGATGCCTCAAAAAGCCATTGGTGGCTCATGCTCAGCATTTTACTCTCTCACTTGCCCTGTCTCTCGCTATTTGTTATCTAAATATTGCTCTCTTACTTTAAAGCCCTCCATCGCTTTCTTTTTTCCATCTCACGTCTTCCATGTCTACTCAACTCACTCCTTCATCTCCCATGATCATTTTCCTTGCCTTGGCAGCTACTCCTTGTTCGTTTCCCTGCATCAACACGAATACTCTCAGCAGCATAAAGCATTGTTCGATCGGCGGAACTGTTAATTGTGAAGACTTAAGTCTCAATAAATCTTTACCCATAAGTGTGCCCACTAATGCACTATAAAAAGAAATACCCAGGCAGGCAAACCAAAGCAGTACCGAGGATTCTGGTCATTTTAAAAGAATGTGTGTGTAATGTAAGTGTGTGCTTTGTTTTTTTTTCTACTGAGGTGAAACCAGGGTCATATAATGCAGCCCACATAGCTGGTGACCTGGATCCCTGGTCTAACAAGATTATTTTAATTACTTTAGTAAGAGATCAAATGAATCCTCCCACCTCATGTCATTCTGGGGCTGGGTACAAAAACAACATAACCAGAATAGTCCATTTCAATTTTAACTTACATATGCCAGCCAGTGACATTAGAAATAGGATAACAAACTATAACTGTAGAGAAATCATGTCAACACCAGGTTTGCTTTAACAGAGGAAAGCCAAATGAGGTCACATCTACCAGAGACTCGATTGCAGGAGACCACATGGGTGTATTCGCTCTAAGTTCTAAATCCTGCACTATAAAAATGAAAACTTGTGATTGTTCAGCTCACTAAACTTTTTCAATTAATCTGACTCAGAAATAAAGCTTTGCTATTTGCAACTAATAAGAACTTGTTGTTCCAACAAACTTTTATCAGTGTTGCCCGAACAAGAATTTTCAAGTCATCATAACATGGACTGAGAAGTTGTAGTTACAAGACTTATTTTTCTTCAAGGAAACCCAATAGATGCCCTGCAGCCCTTGAATACGGGTTTAGAAACCCTGTTGATGCACCTTTCAATGGTAAACAACCGGTTGTTTATGATCTAACGTGGTTTAAAGGGCAAACAAAGCACTCAGTCAAGTTAGCATAATTCACTACATACATTTCCACTGTGTTCAGAAGGTGTAAAACAACCACGAAAAACGTAAGAATATAAAAGGAAAAAGAAGATTGTTTTATGTCTTCTCTCCAACGGGTGCTGCCATCTCAGAGTATGATAACCGATGACGTCACACGGTTGGTTAGCTTCGCAGGTTTAGTTAAAGACAGACAGTGAAAGACAGACTGTCGACAATAAAGCGAGTGAAAGATGGAGACTGAGGAGCCACAGATCATCAGAAGACAAAGGGAGGCCACTACTGCATTACTCCTGGATATAAGAATAAACCTAATAAGGTTAAAGTCGTGAAACAGTCCACTTTCAGACTGTTGGACCAACAAGTTATTGCTAGTTGCAAATAGCAAAGCTTTATTTCTGAGTCATCCATCCATTCATTATCTATACACTACTTAATCCTCACTAGGGTTGCGGGGGGCTGGAGCCTATCCCAGTCGACTTAGGGCGAAGGCAGGGGACACCCTGGACAGCTCACCAGTCTATCGCAGGGCTACACTTAGAGACAGACAACCAAGCTCACTCACACCTATGAACAATTTAGAATCACCAATCAATTTGTCAACAATCAACATGTTTTTGGACTGTGTGGGAAGAAGCCAGAGAACCCGGAGACGCTGCACGGTGAGAACATGCAAACTCCACGCAGAAAGATGCCCCACCCGGGACTTGAACTGGCGACCTTCTTGCTGCGAGGCAACAGTGCTAACCAACTGCGCCACCTTGCAGCCCATTTCTGATTCAGATTAATTGAAAAAGTTTAGTGAGATGAACATGCGTTCGTTTTTACAGTGTGGATGGTTAAATTAAAAAAAACCTGAAGCCAAACTTCAGACTAAACAAGTGCTATATCACATAAGACTCAGCAGTGATTTCAGTGATTAATGAAATCTCTCCATCCATGCCCACCCTGCCTCACTTAAACCAGTTTCCCTCTGCATTCATTTTATGACCTCTTCAGTCTTTCCATCAATCTCCTATTCCATCTTGATCCCCCATCAAATTCTATTTTCTACCCTTACGTTCTCCACTACTTTTCTTTTTCTTGTCTCAACCTTGTTGCAACACTTCCTCTTTTCTACAGATTTTTTTTCCTTTCTAACTCGTCTCTTCTGGCTCTGCAGCCATGTAGCGTGCTTCCTCTTTACAGTTAAGTTTTCCTGTTTTCCCCTCTTAGGCCGCTCTTCCCTTTTTCTCTCCTCCTTGTTGCTCTTAAGGAGAAAGTCTAACATGTCCCTCTCAGTGCAGTAAATTTATAGGCCATGATAAATCTTCTCCTACAGTTGCTGCTGTGTCTTGTTGTCAGTCGGCCAAACAACAGGCTGCACTAGCAGAAAGCAGTAATCCAATTACAATAAAGACAAACCAAGGTCCTTCCTATATTCATCCACCTCAAGCAAATGCTCCCTCTCTTCCCTGCCTCCTCCAACAAATGCTTGAGGTTTGTATGAGGAGCAAGAGGGTATGTGTCCTTGGCAACCTCCTCCAAGGGAGGACAGAAGATGAAGTAAGTGTGTAAGCAAAGGAGAGCAGGAGACACAGAGTCCAGGTGTCAGAAACTATACATACAGATCAACAGTCCACTGACAGGCTGTACATTCTTTCAGACATGTTGTCCATTTGGTATCAGACATTTACTGCCATTTAGAAAATGTCTGATTTGAATCATAAAACTGATAGACAGCCAAAAGATGTTCCACATCAAAGAGGACACAAATATTAACTTTTCTTGACAAGATGTGCAAATAAAACTGTCAAGCAAATTTCCTGCAGGGAAACGTTTTCAGTTCCTCTATCAAAGTAAGCATAGCACGGACTACAATAAGTGGAACTACAGAAATAACATCAGGAAACAATCTAGTACAATATATTGTACTGTCATAAAATTAATATTGTGGATGCATTCGAGTCTAAGCAATGTTTTATTGCTTTATCATATCATATATTTAATTTTATTTACTATATAAGATTCACTATATTTTATAAACTAGTATTATTTTGCAAACTTACTAAACATTATAGCTGTCATTAAAAAAAAATGTTGCAGTAAAAATGTTAATATTTAAAGTATGGGTGTTGTGAAATTGATACACTACAGTATGACTGAAAAATATTAGATTCTAATTAAGCTCAACACTTAAGTAAATGTACTTACCACCATTTTATAGCGTAATTATTTAAAGTGTAAAACGTTCAGTCTTGTTTAACAGTTTTAAATCAGTCGTAAGCGCAAAAAATATGGTTTTCCGAAAATATCTAACAACATAAGTAGGGTTCTTACATTACTTTGCAAATCGACTTCAGTGATACTGATTACACATGTATTATTATGGGATGGTTAGAGAAGGTTAATGTAAAATATTGGAGTGACACATTCACAAAAATCTGATTATAATATCACAGCTCAGTAAAGTACCTGACTGCAACAGAAAGCACACTTCAAAGTGACATTAAATCTATCCACATTATAGATGACAATATGGCAGGCTGTTACAAGCACCCATTTCACATTCAATCCCCATAGCAGCTATGTGTCCTGTTAATTGTCCTTGAACAAGAACCCCCAGCTGCTTACTCAGTCTAAGTCACTCCTGATAGGCACTTGCTAAATATCAAGATGATGAATGCAAATATTGCAAAAACATTTACATTTAATTATGTAGAAAATGTCTTTCGCTAACTTTTTGGAAATGAAATGTTCTAAAATAATAATTAAACCCACAAAGTCTAGAATTTTAAAACCCATGCCGTGTACATCAAAACCTTGTGGCAGACAGCAGATGCTCACTGTCCCACACACATAATGATTCACAGCGAATGTCAACTTTATATCTCATAGTCTCGTCTCTGTGTCAAAAAAAATAAACTGAACACTTTACTACAATCGTAAAAAGGTACACAGAGGCTGAAGGGAAACTTAAAAGGACATAGTGCTAAAAAGGATTCCAAAAATAAACAATTTCACTTGATGAGCAGATGTACTGACTTTAAATGTCAAGGGACTGAGAGGACAATTGATTTATGAAAGAGACACACACTTGCTGACCACACTATGAGTATGGATAAATATATATTTTAGTACTGGATAATAAATGTAGGGCTCCAGACTATGACCAAAACATTCACATATGTGACCACATTTTGAGATTGTGCAAGCCTGTTTTGTTGCCCCTGCAGCCGGCATGGGCAGCTACCACGCTGGCCACTGTTGCTGAAAGTGGTACATTTTCTTCTTCACCGGGTAAGTCGGTCTGTCTCTGCCTGATATGTGCAACATTCCATTTAGCTATGAACATGTTCCAATGATGATGCAATATACAGTTGATTAATTTCAAAAGCAAAATGAAAACAAAGGGGAGGAGGCTGCAGCAGAGTTAGAGATAGATAGGTTAGAGGGAGATACTGACTGAGCCACCGAAGAAGAAACTGTGCTATAAATCCCAATAACTAACGCACTACCAGAGCTGAAAAATGTAAACGAATATCAGTCATGATCCCTAGTTGGGCCTCCCATGATCAAATTATCGACTGCAATACTGAAGTCCAGACAGATCGTGGAGACAAAAAACGATCGGCTATGAATACATCTGACATGAGAAGGCTTCAATTTGCCCTTTTCAAAGTTATTGTGAATCCCACACACATGACACAGTTGCTGCAGTAACAATGTGGTGGCTAGATGGTGACTAGAGGCTTCTCTGTGTTCTACTACTGAGTTAGCATCTACCACAGCCTAAGTGTAAAGCTTTTATGGGACAACGGTAAGCTCTAGGGTCTACCAACACACAGATAATGGACAAATGAGATGTTTGGCCTGTGTGTGTTTATAACCTGAAGGGAAAAGCCTTAGGACACAATTACTATGTTTTTAAATTTTGTGAATAGCAAGTTTCGTGTCACTGTCAAGCTTTACATCAATGCACAACTAGGCAAAGACATTAGCCTTTGAGGCGGATTAATATCAAACCATGCTGTAACAAGAAACAGTGCTCGTGTAGTGCATCCATACTGATAAACTAATAAATATAGTACATTTGTAAAGAAGATCGTAACATGTTAACAATCTGACTCCAGCAATAGATCAGATATCATTACATATCATTAGTGCACTGTACCAGTATAATATTAAGCTCGTTGTAAGGGATTAGGAAACAGTTTTGTCTTTCACTTAAGTGACCCAGATTTCCAAACTGAAAAAGCCACCCTCTTTTTTATGTGCTATTTTACTGCCGGCCCTACATGCACTCCCGGCATATGCTACAGGACTTATCAACTCAATTTCCTCCCCGCTGAGGCAACTTCTCAACACCCCCCATCAGTATGCGACGACAGAGAGGCTAAAACTAATGCTGTAGCTGACAGCTGTTGGTGGAAAAAACATCTCTAGGGTCAAAATGTGAGCCCCGCATTATGGTCTCTCTCTGAAGCCAGCCATCCGTAACCCCTGCTGCCCTGAAGGTGCCGGTAACCTCAATAACAACGCATTTGTAACCAAGGCTTGTGTGTGAAGTTAAGCGTGTGTTGGATCCTGGCATTCATTGCCCACTGATGTCTTAGTTTTGGAACATAGTTACTGTCAACGCTGCATATGACGCTTAATGTGTTGAGTGAGTTTAACAAGAGACAAGAAAGCAGGTTCGCACGCCTTCAGAGCAGCCATGCAGTCTCAGCTGTCTGGAGCCTGTTGGCTGAACTGTTCTGCAGCTTCCATGCTGAAATGCAAACTCAGCGTTCGAAAAGGACCCAATTACATGTGTTTTTGCTTGAAAAACCCAACAGGAAGTAGTGCAACAGTATGAAATCATATGCATTAGAGGGTGTAATGAATGCTCATTACCGGCAGAATGGAGGTTAAATGCTGGCAGGACGTAACATGGCATGTGCCAGGGGAACAATGATGTGCTATTGTATGTGTGCCTGAGGGTTTCTGTCCTGTTGAGGAGATGTGTGTTTGGTGTGTTTGGTGTCCATGTGTGGGACTTACTCCTTGGGTGGGTTGAGGTCTTCAGGTCTGGTCTCAAAAAACACTCTGACCTCTTCGCACTGGGAGATGTAAACTGGCAGTTGAATGAGGGCCTGCATGCACAAAAAAAAGAACCGGAAACTTAATAATAACACACAAACTGACAAGTACAATCAATTGAGTACGTACAGAGATCAACTACGGATAACTATAGTCTTCACTGGTCTTCATGATGTTACAGAACAAGACAATAAAACATTGTTCACAGTGTTTGAGGGCATTTTCAGAATGATCTTTTGTGCAGGGATAAGTGGTACAGTTTACAAATGTATGGAGCGATTGGTTTTATCTAATTTGTTTATCATTTTTTACAAATGAACAACACAGTCTAATTAATTTCTATGATCAACTGTCTACATCATTTATCATACCTTATGTCCTGTCCTTATTAATATAATCCCCGGTGATGCTACAAGTAAGTAAAGTAAGTTATTTTCTGCTGTGTTTCTGAAGTGTCTTTCAATCATACCAGTTGTTTCTATTCTCTTCTTTGCTCTTAAGCTCTGCTCATTGATCTGTCTTTCCTACCTTCCACCCTCATCTTATGCCTCTGTGGAAGATCACTCGCAGCAGAGAGATGAGCTCTGACAACACGGCTGGAGATGAAACACGAACAGCCACATTCAGTTCTCTCTTTATTAGTATGATCTCTCTCTCTCTCTCTCTCTCTCACAGCCAGCTAGTCATGTCATCGCACACGTCTTATTTTCTAGCCCCATTTTTTTCCCCCCATTCTCTCCAGTCTGTGTTTGGTCTGCTTCCACTACTCTGTCTTTCACTCACTCACAATCAAACCTCTAAAGGGCAGCAGTGAAACAGATAATCACCTCAACAGCTTGATGCCCCAATCCAGAAGACAGAAGTAAGAGAGATAGTCTCAGCAGGGTCGTCGCTGGCAGTTGTTCTGACGGACGGAGCTGGGCCACTTCTTTTCTATTTGTTGGCAAGCAAAGCTCAACGCTATCCATCAAGCTTCCTCTGCTGGCCCTTACCTCTGATTTTAATACTCCTAAGTGTTTCAGTTTTGTCCTTTAACGGAGCAGAGTCTACCTCTCGCACTCTCTGACACACACTGATATAACGTCATGGCTGACAGATATGGAATGGAAGCCAAAGACCCAACCCAAGTGTCCTTGTCCCATGCGCTGCACCTGCCTTGTCATACTTACGACTACAAGTCCATGCCAGCAGCTTGTGTTTGAGGAAAAGAGAGGCACCATGGATGAAGCATAGCTGCAAAGTCATATGAAATGCAAATGTACCCATGTTTGCTGATACATGGTGCAAAAACAAGATGATTATGCTTCAGCAAAGTTTCCAGCTTTACAGCAGCTTTATCTATGTCTTGCGATGCAGAATTCTGAACTGTGCCTGAGGTCAGAGTGTATCCTGAACTGGCTATACTCTCCTTGGATTTATTTCCCTCCTCGTGTCAGCCTGTGGCCCTTCCACTCATTACAATTCTCCCCAGGGAGGAGACAGGAGGGAGGCTCAGGGTACATTACGGCAAATGGACTTTATGGGTGTTCTTTACAGGAGGCCGCATTAAGGTAATTGTGTGTGGCTGCTTGTGTGTGAGTGAGTGCGCATGCGTGCATGTGCATGTATTCTCCAAGGAAAAATATGTCATGGAAATGAAAGGTCTGCTTCTCATGAGGTACAGTACTCTGTGGCCCTATTTGTGCAAAGTATCTTTTCACATGTACACATATGCAGCGAATATAGCTTCAGAAATGACAGGGTTTTGCAAAAAAATTAAAACTAGAACTACAAGAGCATCAAAAACTTGGCCATGTTTATTATGCACTTAATGTACTTTTTTAATGCCATACATTTCCTCAAGCAGTGTGAGTTCAACAAGGGTCCACGCTCAGCAGTTTTACTTACGGTTTAGGCAAACAACCCGTAATTCCATGTTTTTTCTTCTTCTTTCTTTTATGTGATTGTGTTTCCTGACATGAATAAAAACATAAGCCTTCACAACCAGGGAAATTCCATATGAGTCAGGTTGAAGCCTCAGCTGTGTAACAGAAGGGCTGACTCAGCTCTTCCAAAGAAAAACATGAAGTTTCACCTTGTCAACCTGACTACATGTGTGGGTGGATGAAAGTGCTATTTTGGTTCTTTCTGTGAAGTTTGAATTTGCTTCTGCATTAAACGCAATAGGTTTTATTTACGTCCTATGAATTCTAAGATCTGACCTGTATGATGCTATTAGAGAATGTTTGACCTGTTTTTGAAATGCAATGTTTATAACAGAGTTTTTTCCTATTGCTCAAATTTAAACGCAAAATGGTACATTCATTTCTACTCCACATAATGCTCTCATATCAGTATCCCTTAGCCCTAATTCCTACTAATTTTTGGTAAAACTTGAAATAATACAACACCATTTCACTTGTCAACAGGTAACAACACCACTGATGTAAACATCGGCTCTGCTAGTCCCATAAATATCCACACCTTCAGTCAGGAACCAACAACTCTACTCATTCCACCCCCCAAAACTCCTTATTTTTCACATAAGTGGTTAAAGATGTTGCCTACACCAGCTGTACATTCCTTTAACCCCAGATGACACAAAGCCCTTCCAGTCCTCATTGTTTATCATACGTAAATGCTTTCCTCTCCACTCTGAAGCCTTATGAATTGTGGTGTTCATGCAGAAAAACAAAACGGCAAATGAATTCCATACTAGAAACTAATTAGTAGTTTCGATGGGTTTATGATAATGATGGAGAAGAAAAAGCAACCCAACGATAAAACAAGTTGAAAATACAAGAGGGTGTGAGTACGAGCCAAGTCAGAAGTTTGTTTTACTTCTCAGAGAGACAGAGGGAGGTGTATATGGTTTAGAGCCCTGAGGCAAGTCTGTAAAATTTAGCAAAAACACAGCCTACTTGTGGATATGCTGACTGGAGCAAGCTCAGCGACGGCAAGCTCCTTGCCTTTGGCGCAACTCTGCTGACAGTAATCACCACAACTGGAGATACAACAACATCTTTCTAGCATCCTTTCACACTTAAATCATGCAACTTTGTGGACAAGATATCAGCTTTATGTCTCATCATAAAAAGTCATGGCCCTAGGTTGCAAAAAAGACACACTTTTTGGTTACTGCAGATAAACTGTTGACAATCCCACTATGATAAAAATCCTTAAACTACTTTTTAAATATATATCAGAGTAAAGAAAACGTACTTGTTAAGAAGCTGAACGTCAGTCAGGATGTATTCATTTAGGTTGCAGTGGTTACATTTCTGTCAAATGGAAGCTATTAGTTGCAAGCTATTGGCAGTTTTACGGTTGTATTTCTGCTACAGTGGAGGTGGAGAATGTACAGTTGCATTTTTACCCCCTTTCTGGAGGCCAAGTAATTAATCTCTTTGGTAAAAAGCGATGTAATGGACTGTATAATGCACAGGTTTTACATCATCCTGTTTTTTTGTTGTTTTTTTTTTTTAACTGATGGAATGAGATGCAGTATTTCAAGTTGGAAAACACCAACACATTACAGCACATGTGAATGTTGTCATCCTGACTTTAGCAACCCAACAGCACAAACATACAAGTATATTTGCCAATTCTCTTTGCTATAGGGATCAGTAGGGTTGACCCTACATTTAGGCATGGTGATGACATCCTGTTATCATCTGACTGCACAGAGATGTTCTTTTCCCTTATAGGCGTCTGATCTCTTGAGAAAAGTATTCCTGTAGTGCAATTCCTTTTGCAAAGAGGACAGAATCTCCAGTAGAGCACCTGGGGAGCTCTGAGGACACCTTAGCAGGGTTGATCCCTGCTGTCACAAACGTTTGCGCTGAGGGGTTTAAAATGTAAATGTATGAATCTTGTTGTTACACAAATCTTTCCGTATATGCTTAATTTTAGTCAAAGTTGTTCTTAAATGGTTTAAGTGTAGGTAGTAGGGTAAAGACCTGACAAATGTAGGTCTTTTGTTTGAGTTTTCACAAGAAATAGTGCAAAACAAGACACTGACTGGAACCTAAATAAGTTGTCTGGTCTGGTCCCTTGGTGTAATACTGAATGTGCTGAAAGAAACAGCAAATGGTGGTGCTCAAATAAACACAGAGGACATAAAAAGACTATTTTCCATGTTCTAATTCATGACTAAGTTGATACAGCGTGGGTGGGATACTTGTTCTTTTCTTTCCTTTGACAACTGCACTTTCTATGTTTATTTCAGCACTTAATGCTGCAGATTTATAGGTTAAAAAGCACTGTACTGTTCAGTTCACTCACCCTGCAGTATTCATTGATGGGCCTTAGTCTTTTCATCGCAACATCTCTGATGTGGCTCCTTCTGAACAGAATCTTACCTGGAATAAAGTAGAAAAACAGCCATCATTACAAACTGTTGAATTACAATGTACATATACTTTAGATGTGCATGCCAACCATGCCTAATTATTATATTTTATATTCTAATCATTATACTTTATGATCTGTATGTCATGTGTGTCAATGATACATGTGTAATAGCAATATCAACAAAAAATAAACGTAATCACTTTTTCAACCGAAAACCAAAGATCAGGGGTACCTTGAAGGACAACAGGGACACAGTGAATTAGGAAATTAGCATGCAGACACAATACAGTCACGTCATCAATAACACTGACAGCACAATGAGGTGGGTAAAGAGCTAGGTGAATAGCTGGCCTTTCCAAGTCATGAATAAATGATCTTGGGAAAGCAAATTATGTCTGCATGACAGTTTAAATGCTACTCCCCCGTTCTTATCTCTGGGCACACATAACTACAGGCACACACAAGCCCGGTCGCCATAACAATAACAAGAAATGGCTACAAATAGGCTTCTTAAAACACTTTGCTAACTTAATGGCATGCAGGAAATTTGAGAGCCAGCATCTATTTTCTCCTCATTTGGGCTGCCTAAGTTTCACCAATAAATTCCCTGAGACAGGAAGTGAAGAAATGTAACAAGATCCTGATTCAAAACAGGGGCATGTTTTTCAGAAAGTTACTGTAGAGAGCTATGGTGTTTGCTTTTGAAGCAGACGTGCTGAAACATGAATTTATCTCAGGAGATTGCTGCTGAGCAATCAGCACCCTGCAGCTCCATAGTTTCACTCTTGTTGCTAAAATTGTTTTTTCTGCTTCCTTAACCCATGCAGCTTAAAACCACAAGTATCTGTTTTGTTTGGGGGTGTGGGTGAATGACAGATGAAAATACAGTTCAAGACACACCAGCACAGTTTGTAATCATCAGTGTCTGATTATGAATATTTAACATCAAATGTTATTGTTCATCTTGTCAATCCGAGGCAGGATGAAGAAAAAAAAAAAGAAAGGAAAAGACCACAGTGAGAAAAAAAGTGAAAGTGGAGTGGATATGTGTGGAGTGGCTTCCTCAAAAGAAACCCATGTCATGGATATTTTACACAATAACCACAACCACCAACACCCAACTTACAAAGACCCTCCCTCTGTCCTCCATCCAGCCATCCCTGCAACTTTCGAGTTGACTCAGGTGGTTGACAAAAACCACAGGAATCATAATAATGTGAAGATACAGTAGCAGGAAGCTCACAAGTAGCAGAGCCTACTATAATATCAAAGAGTCTGACTGGACATGCTGTCAGGTAAAATGAAACCTGAATGTTAATATAACCTTGAGCACATATTAAGGCTGGCTGCTCGACTTGAGCTAATATTGTGAGCACCCTGGACGCTTTTATGAGAAAAAAGCAATCTTGAAAATCATGTATGTTCCTGGATCTTCTGTTGTTGTGACATTTATGGATAACTACTTTATCTCATGCTGCCGTGCGGGTGACATTTTTGTCATTAAGAGGAAAATGTGCTGACAGCCATTTGATGGATTGCCATGAAATTTGCTACAGATATTAAAAGATCCGTAGTGCATTATGTGTATCCCACCATTTCATCGAAAAACATCTTTCCAAGTCAAGGTTTCCACATTGAAACGTCCAAACAGATACTTGATGGATAAGCACAATATTTGGTACCAACATTTACGAGTTGTGTCAGAAAAGTTCCAGGACTGGTGTCACAAAAGATATATTTCAAACCTAACCTACAAACTACCAGTTTTCCCCTTCAGACAATCAAGCAGCACGTCTACAAAGCTCCTGTGGCATTTGCTTCGTTCAGTGCACGAGAAGAGACGAGAGTTGTGGCAGGACAAGTCGTGGCTGCTTCACCATGACAACGCACCTGCTCACAATGCCCTGAGCATCCCACAGTTCCCGGCTGAGAAGAACATCGCTGTGCTGGAGTAACTTCCCTACTCACCCCACCTGGTTCCGTGGGATTTTTTTCCTCTTCCCCAAACTCAAGGGGGTCATCAAGGGGACCCGTTTTGAAGACGTGGACGACATCAGGATGGCTGTGACAACGGTGCTGTGGAGGATCCTGGAAGAACCCTTCCAGGAGTGCATGGCTGCGTGGCAGAGATGGCTGGGAAAGTGTGTTAGACTCCAGGGGGTTTATTTCGAAGGGGACAACTTGTAGTTTCGATTTGAAATATATCTTTTGTGACACCAGTCCTTGAACTTTTCTGACACACCTCATATATATATATCTCCCAAACATCATATTGTACTAACTTGATCTTTTCATATCGCGCCACCAGCAGGTTGACAATATAGGTTTAGAAGTGAAATACCTCAATAAATATTTGAAAGATTCTGCTCATATTCACAAGATGAAGTCAAAAACAAGCACTGGACAACAACTTTTATTCCCTTTACAACTATAAAGTTGGAGACCTGATAGAAATGGTAACGTAATGCCATATTCATGCAGAACAGTATAGTATTACATGCCTGAGACTGTTACAAAGAAGATTAACTAGATGAAGAATGAGAAAGGACATTCCAAATCTCGAAGGTGTTGGCAGCATCTTGCCAACACAGCCCAAAGGACACACTGCTTGGACAGCTCTTGAAAAACTAAAGAGATTTGAAAGTCAACCCCCAGACGCAGACTGCTTCTCCTCCTCTTTTTCTGTCCCTTTCTTCCTCTCCTGCCTTCGTCACTCCGTAAACAGAAAGTGTTCTTGGAAGGTTTTCCAAAGCTCTCTGGGGTCAGAGGAGAAGCACTGACTCAACACTGCCCACTTTGTATGCATGGCAGCTCATGGATGCAGCCCATGAAAAGGGCTTGTTTGGGAGGCAGCAGGGAGGAGGGAGGGAGAGAAAGCTGCTGCCTCAGAGCCATGGCTGAGGCAGAGTAGACTTTATGGCAAATCTCAGAGCCAACAGTGACCGAAGGTATCAAACAACTTTTGTCTCTTGGGAAGGGTGAGATGGAGAGAAGAGACAGAGAGGGTTGTTGTTACGAACCTCACGCAGAAAGCCGGGCGCAAAATTCACCTATTAATCACTAGATTCACCACAAATAAACTACTCCTGCCTCCACTCTAATGTGCCTCATTAGGGAGATTCTACGTAGCTAATATTTTAACATAACACCAAAGCTGTAGACTTACTTTTCGTTGTACTTGTTGCAATGACAATAAAGCAAATCTGAATCTGAATTTGGGGCTCCAGCGAAAAAAGCAGGACTTGAGACAAAATTTTGACTTGAAGCATTCAAATCTTTAGTTTTGACTGAGTGAAACTAGGTTTTGACACGGAAAGCCGAAGAAAAAATAACAGTATTTGCGGTATGGACAAGCAGGCACACAAACTGAATATATTGTTCTTTAACCCATTTTGTAAAAAGACTTGATCTCGTTTAAAAAAAACATACAAAAACTGCTTTCAAAGGTGTAAATGCAATTTGCCAAACTTGGGACTTGACTTGGACATGACTTGACACTTGACTTCAAGCCTCGAGAGAGAAGAGTTTATTTTTTGAGTCTTGACTTGAGATTTGATAGAAGACTTAACATGAGTTTTGACTTGTTACACAATTAGACTTTTTCTTAAAAAGGCCCTGCCATGTGCAAACTTTCTAAGTTAAAAGCATGAATAGGGATTTATGTGTGTTTTGTAATTACTGTGTTCTTAGCGAAGTTGCTGACTCAGGGCAGACAACTTTGTAAATTGCCACAGAAGACAGGTCTGCCGCTGGTACACCACATTCAAGCAGACAGGAGACAGTGATTGGTCTCCCCTGCAGACAAGAGATGACTGTGATACGAACAGGGCTTAAACAACAAGGTCATAGTAACTATTCAGTTATTTTGTGTTTTTCTGCCCTTCATAGGGGCCTGACTAGGGAATGTGAGTTATTCAGCTCCACAGAACAGTACCTGACCTGTAAAACATACTGTGCCTCCTACTGTGCTGGGAGGAGAGATCCCCAGACACACAACAGAGTAGCTGAAAAATCTACTATAGTTCAATCATGGGTATGAAAAGGAAAAAAAATTCAAATTCATACTCCACATCTGGGAGAATATCACCTCTTTTATCATCCAGGGGCCCTAAAGAAACAGACCCACATTCCATCTCGAGTCTTGTCTTTCTCAAAGGCGACCTGCTGACACTGCCTCAAAAAGCATCTCTCAGGCCTCTGGCATAAACGGATCAAATTGATCATTTTATCTAAATGTCATGTATGACACACAATCCAAGAAACCCCGCGCTGTGAGAGGTATTCATACGATGGCCAAAAGGTGTTTACCACATACTGTGCAATCTTGAGATGACAAAAAAGTTGACCTTTAGCATGAAAAAAAAGGTTAAGATATGAGTTTCAATGGGCTTCATAGAAGTTGTTCTTCGAGAGAAATCCCCCTTAAAGATCGAAGAATGGACTCAGAGCCAAGATTTTGGTGTGTACACCTGGCAAAAAAAAAAACACTGAGCATAAATTCTGCACTGCGTCCACATGCGGACAAACCACTTTGCTGATGCAGAGATACCAAAAGGAGCAAAAACAGCTTGAGGCTCCGAGCAAACCAAACCAACAATGAGAAACCACTTCCGTGCCTTGTTAAGCTGGCCTCAGTACATACTCCAGACTTTTGCTTTGTAAGTGAATGATGTTCTTGGCTGTCAGGAAGCTTCCGCAGTTTAGATGGATGTTGGCTTGGAATCCTTCACAGAGAGGTGTCTGATCTGATCTGGGGTTTGAGATCAGTAAATCAACACTTATTCAGGCACTCAATAAGTCTTTCCCAGCAACATCCTGAAACAATGTAAAACGTTCAACAGTAGCATTCCTTGAGGGTACCATGTAGAGCCCATCGGTCTTTAACTAACTTTTGGTTTCGTAGCAGCTCAACAGGAGCAGTTGGGGATTTAATACCTTCTTCAAGGGCACACAACTTCTAGCAGAGAAAATAGGAGTGAAAGACAAGCGAAATACAGAGTTTCACAGGAGGACAGAAGAGAAAGCAAAGACTCTTGGTGGAAAGTAGACAGGAACTTTAAAGAAAATCTTGAATTTCAAGCTTGAACACTAAAAGCAGGAAGGAAGCAGAAAGAGTTTAATGCAGATGAGAATGTGTAATGGTATCCGAGGTCAGTATGGTTTGTCTGGCTGCAAAAGGGAGGTAGAATGAAAAGCAGTGTTTTTGTATCTCTCTTCCCTCTTCCCCTCCTCCTACTCAGAGTTCATCAAACAGTGTTGAGAGTGTGTGTGTGTGTGTGTGTGTGTGTGTTCTTGTGTGCGTGTTCTCTCAATGAGTTCCAGACCTGCATGGGCATAAAAAAAAAAGAAAAATCCTATCCCCCACCCATCCCATGCCGGCCGGGGGAGACGTGGGTGGGGTCTATGGGTGAGGCTTTTTCTTCCTCTCATAAAGGATTACTTTCAGCAGGATCTCAAAAGTTGGTCATGCACACCCAAAAGTCCTCATTCCAAACAAACTTCACTGCCGCTCGTGCTTATAGTAGAGTATAACAAACTAAAAAGACTACTATTTGGGCTTGTCAGGTTTCACACATTGATGATTCAGCCACTGGTGCAGCTAAATCAAGATTATAATTCATGAGGAATATTGTGCATTTTTCTAAATTTTACAACTAAATGCAGCACTGTCAAATATTCAGTGCTTTCCTCAGAGGCTCCAGCCCAAGTCTACATGCCATGTCTAATATGTCTTAAGGCCATGTACTGACGGATCAGCTGGTTCAGCACAATGTTTAAAGACTACATGAATGAACAAATTCCTGCTTGGTTTGCAGAAACATCAAGGCTACAACCAACTATGGTTGCTTCATGTTGGGGTTTTTTTTGTGCGCAATATAACATCGCAACAAAAATTCTGCTTTCTTCCAGTTCATTTAGTGTCATCAGTGAGTCACTGCTGTCCCAAGTAGGTTAGCGTTTCTGATGATGAGCTCAAAGGGAGTAAACATGAGAGGAAGAAAAAAATACGAGTTCACTATTCTTTCTGCATTACTTGTTGGCTGCACTCATTATTAATTTTCCGCCTGCAGTTCTCCCAGTTCAGCCCTAATTTTTTGTCATGTGACTGTCGGTCGTAGCTACGTTACTCATGCCATCTTGGTTGCACAGAGGATGGCAACATTTTTTTTGGTTTTCTACAGAATCTGGTTTGAGCAAATTATAAATTTTTGGCAAATTTGCAAATGAGACATGTAGTGATTTTCATGAAATAAGCCAATTTTAGCTACACAAGTCATACATGATTAGTCTGAAAAAACATCTGATAATTCTTCCTGTTTTTTTAAAATATAATTTCTTGCTAATTATGTCATTTTTGCACTTTTTAAAGAATAACATGCCTTTCAAACCGGTCAGCAGGTTTTGGATTTTCATCTATAACATTTCCAAGAGAACCCAAGACATGTCCTGAGTTAGTTAGCTTGATTTGTCCAAACAACAGTGGTGATAGCAATACGAATAGGGAAAAACAGCAAACATATTGATCGTTTTTCTTAAGATTTGTATTATTTCTAAAGTGATCTTTCCTCTATTTTTTCTGACAAGCTACGATTATGTGCTTGTCTGACGAGGCCTTGGGGGACAGTGTGCGTTTAACTCTTACCTGGTAGGAAAGGAATGATCCTGCGCTTTGGGTCTTTCTGGCCTCCCTCCACTGGGAATTTATCCAGCAGCTCCATCTGAAACCCCACAATTAATTCAAACTTATTAGAACACAAAATATTTACACTCACACATAACAGTATGCACAATAAACAGGACAGCTGAGGGTGGTTAGGAAGGAACTGCTAATTTTTTACAAATCAGCAGTTCCTAGAAGGAATTTGGCCAATAAGAGCAAGTCTGCCAATAATTAGGAATGTACTGAGCAGATGGTATGGTTTTCTCCTCTACTTCATATGTTGCTGTAGCTAAGGGGCTGTTAGCAGCAAGGCACCACTGACATAGTGGAACATTTCTGTTTCAATCGTTTTAAAAGGCCAGCACTTCCTTATTTCTCCTGATTGCAATTTCTCTTCTTTTCCCTTGATTGTTCTTTTCTTTCTGTGTAGAACTAGTTTTGTCTGATAGGCCAGTCTTTTGTTTGTGCTACATATGGTTATTCATGTAGAAGTAAATGTGTGTGTTTGTGTGTGCATGTGTGCAATTCAACATGCAGCTGAAGCCAATAAAATGACACCTGGCCGTATAGACCCCTGGACTATGTCCAATGCGTTTTTCCTGACAGTGTATCAGCATAGTCTTCATTTATGGATTTTTGTATGGTGCTTGAGGAAAAAACATAAAAAACCTCAAACAAAAGATTTCACATTAAAAATGAAAAACACTCGATTCAATTCAATGTTTAAGAGAGGACACTAAAACTCACATTCCAAAACAATATATAAATACAACAGCAGATTACAACAAAGTTGCAGAACAATGTAAAGATATTAATCATTTCTTGAATTATTAACCAGTTTTTTATTTACTGTTTTCACAGAATGTCAAATAGCGCATCAGAGCAAGACACAGTCAGGGTAGTTTTCCTCCAAGTTCAAAGCTGTATTACTAAAATCACAAATATAAACTCAAGCCTTTATTCATACCATAATTTATGTCTCTTTGTACTCAGTTTTGACACCAAGCTGCCAGACATAGTCTCATGCCCTTATTCATTATACAGCTAGAATTTTTTATATATTTTTTCTGGTTTTTAGTTCATATTACTGGAGCAAATGACCAAAGTAGGATTTTGGTGTCAATGTTGCCATTATAAGCAAAGGAGTAACTGATGGACAGAGCCACCAAATGTAGAATTACTCAGTTACAGGTGACTGCAAGTTAGTCAAAGCCTGACTCTAATCAGGATGACATCAGATCGTTTTATCTTCTGCTACAAACCAAGAATACTACATAGCTGTGGACTAAGCTCATACAGTTGGAGCTTGGACATGCCGACAACAAGATAACCAGCACATAATGAGATTAATACAATTTCTGAGTGTGTTTCTTTCATGTTAACTAGATAAGATGATTTATCTATCAAGGCTGTGCTCCACAGAGGCATCTGAGGGTCAAAGCAAATTGGCTCTCTGGATGTTTAACCCCAAGATTACTTCATTCCTTTCACTGTTAAACATCTCAGAACCTTGACTAGTATGAGAGACTCATTTCTAGAATGTGCAGCACCAATGTCAGAACTGGAATGTGAAGTCCTATGGATCAATTTTCATTTTAGCACTCATATATTGTGGTACATGAGGCACTATGTACAGCTTTACTGTGCTTTTTTCCATCTAACTGACATGTGATAACACAGTCAAACATTTCATCCTATAAGTAAAGATAAAGGACTGTCTCTTACCAGCTCACTGGACATGCTCTTTACAGCCACCTGAAGGCAGCATGCACCCGGAATCTCTAACAGGAGTGATGCTGCATGCTATCAAGCCACCATAAAGCACAGCAGATCTTATGGCAAAATTTTGTGCAACAAGAGCAACAGCCAAGAAAAGCTCTGTGCTAAAGATCAACATCAAACTACGGTTTCTCCTGTAAATCATGATGCATGTTGGATACTGACACACCAGACAGAGTTTTTAAAGTTCAATGAAGCATTAAAGATCAATTAAAACCCAGTGTTAATGACTCCCTCAGGAATTACTTGTGTGTTTGTGTGAGTTCTCCAGAGTAACTGAGCCAACAACTTTATATACAATCTTATTCTTAACAAGTCAGGCCAAAGCTTCATGTGGAAGCTTTGGCTTCTACAAATGATTAATTAAGATACAAGCAGACATGTGGCTGTGATTACTAGCATGATATGATGGGTTTGATTTTACAGCAAAGTTTTGAGAAGCAAAATAATGTAGTTTCAAGTTTTCATAACTCATTCCCAGTTTGTCAGAATATGAAGCTTAAGTAGGCTTTTAATTGATCCTCTCCCCGTTCTAAATCTACCACCAAATGAACTTGGTCAAACAAAGTACCAAACGGTTTAAAGGGCACACTGTGACCAGCCCCAGGCTGCCAACATCACAAAAATAGAGTCCCTAGTGTTCGAGTTTTAATAGTTCCACCCAAAATGGACAAATTCAAGATTTCACAATGAGTTCAGTTGTCAATGCTTTCATCATTTCTCTTTTCACTAAATGTCTGAACAAGAGTATAGACTTATGATGTGTTATGTGTGGTGGATTTTGTAATTGGTTTGGTGGTCCTACTTATTGCATATTTGTCGATAAGAAGCATCTAACTTGCTCTAAACACGAAACAAAAGCATCTCAAAATATCAAATGTGCATCACTGTATAGACGACTGTGTTGTAAGATGTTGCGTTGCAGCATATCACGAGGCATTATTGTTCATATCAACTCTGGTTACTCGTGAAAGTTCTTTGTAGGGATTTCAGCGATACAACATTGCTTGAGGCTTCTATTAACGGTTACCTTAATCAAATAATTCTTACAGCAAGCTTCTGGGCAGTAAAAAAATCAAGTTGATTCATGCCGTCACAAAATGTACTTTGGCAAATTTGACGGGAACAATGAGGTAGCCTGAGCCAATACTAACAAAGCCTGCAGGAGATGTAATGTGAGGTGAAGGGATTAGGAGGTCATGGGAAAAGAATAGACCTGTGCCAAAGAGTATTTACTAATGTTTTTTATGGACTGTCTCAGGCTAGTCAGGTGCCAAAGAGGTGTTGTTTCCTTAATGAGTGGTATAAAGTTTATCAGCCTCAATACACTACTTTGAGGAAAACACTGATGGAATAACATTTTGGGGGGGATTGCTGTCTTGCCACTGCAATTCCAACCAAAACAACCAGAGGACTGATTAAGTGGTGAAGGCTCAAGCAAAACCGCAAACAAATAGAAATAGTTTGATTTAAAGAAGGTATCAACTCAAATATGACGTAATTTGGAAGTAGTGGAAAAATGAAACAACCAAAGTGTGAGAGTGGGACTGTAGCCAAAGACAATTTACTAGAAGTCTGAAAGGACTAACGGCTTCTGGACAGTTACAGGCATGACGATGGGGGAGCACCAGTTTGTTACTCTTGTTCATATTTTATGCTGCTAAATTGCTGACAAAGTTCTGCAACAATCTTTTTCCACATAAGGAAGTCGAAAGACCTAATTTTAGCCTAATTTAACCCCTTAAAGAGCTTGTACAAGTCCTTGTATAAACCCAACATTTTTTTAAGCATGCCAAGAGAAAAGATTTTTGACTAATTCATCCTAATCTGACGATACTTTTTCCTCCCTTTAAAAACATAGCTGAGCCAAAAACAATATCACCAGAATCAGTTTGCTGTAAAACAACAAAGATGAGAGTTTAAGTACACAATCCTTGTTTTCATACCTAACCAAGATGAGCTTTGATGATAATTGTATAACTTTTAGAATTTTTGTTTTTTTTCTAAATGAGCAGGCCTGTTTTTTAAAATACTTTGCATTTGCCCTGTTAAACTTAAAACAATGAAAAGCATAGGGGTAAAAAAGTAACCCTCTTTGTCTACAAAACTAAGACAAAGAGAGGTGAAAAGAGGTGAGTCAGTCCGCTTCCCTGGGTCTTGTGGTTTCTTAAGATAAAACAGAGGGCAGCGAAGGAATTCAGAAAAGGAGGGGAAAAGGCACTGAGCTCAAGAAGCATCAATCTGCTCAGCTTAAGAATCAGATGCTTCGTCAATGACACAGTACCACCTTAAGAAGGGCAGGATAAACAAAGAGACGTCCAGACAGAGAGAGAAAGAGACAAACACAGAAGAGCCAATACCCCACACACTGTAATTGTTCCCATGTGTGTGACTGCGAGCGCAGACACACCCCAGCCTCTGTGTCTACTCTAAAACTTGTATCTACTCTGTAATCAGAGCCACTCAAACGAGAAAAGGCATGTGGAGAGAGTAAAGTTGTCTCTTCAAAATACCAGTTACATCATGCTCTTAATATCAAATATTCATGCTCTGAAGCGGGGAGGAGGATGGCAGACTGAGGCGAAATGCAGTCAAGCTCCACATGGTTTTCCAAGGCTTTTCTAAAATGTGTCATTTTAAATTATATGCTGCTGAGTTCATCTCTGGTCCAAAGAAATGCATGTCACATTGTTACTATACAGACAGTACAATGACAGATGCTATCAGCACCCAAAAACTCCATATGTGCTGTATTTTAGCCACTGCAGACAGAAAATCTAAACATTGTAAAGAGTTAAAAGTTTGAATCTGAACCCTCATTTTCTCCCCAATAGCTTATTAACTTCAAAACTAGTGTCTCATTTATACATTCTCTCATTCATCAAAGCCTGATAAGGAGATTCTGCGCTCTTTCTAAACAACGCTTGGTTGATATTCTCAAAAATGAAAAAGGAAAATCCTGCAAAGCTTTCGTCTGCCAGGAAATTGAATAATGGAAAGACTGAACACACTCTGAATATAAATTGTCTACAATCTCTTAACAACACAAAGTTTAACTCTTCGTTTGACTCATTTCAGTAACTGTTTGAATACATTCAGACCAGCAGACCGACGACAAGGATGTACATAAATTTGTCAGTCAGCATCACAGCTTCTCCAAGATCTCAGCAGAGCGTCACCGAGAGAGAACAAAACTTTATCTTCATGCCTCGGCGATGCTGTGAACTTTTAAACACTGTTATTTTATCAAATATATTCTTGCTGATTCAGAGTGTAATGCAATCTTCCAAGGGGCTATAATTTGTCTAGCTTATATCCGCTTTAACCACATCATCAGCATTCAAATAAAGACCTAATAAAGAAGATCTGAGAAGCGCCAGACTGTTGAATGAGAGCATAAAAGGGTCCATGGACAATGGTTGCTCTCTTTGCAACATGCCTATCTCTGTAGTCCTGTGATTCTTTCACTCTGTTCACTGTACATTCATGTCTGAGGTCATTTTTAACCCTTTGCAGACAACTGTGCTGTTGGTGCTCACATCAAGTGGTGAGAAAAAGAAATAATTCATGAGGTATCACTTTAAATGCTAATTGTTTAACATAACAGACTATATGATGCTAGGGACTTATTATCGACTGCACTAACTTATATTAAGACAAAACATGCACAAGATGGGATTCACAGTTGGGTTCATTTGTGGCTATTGTCTGACAACAAACAAGGAATATTTCTAAAAGTGTGTAATCCTGCTCATTTGACAGATAACAGCAAATAACGGTGACCAATCCCAATGCAGATATTGTAGCTCAATGACTTAAAAGGATCAGAGGGTGGAAAAACTAAACACAAGTACTATTTCGTACGTAGCTTCTTGTGAGTCAAACAAATATGAAACATAAATGCAGTGATTGACAACTTCCCTTTGTATGATTTTTACTGAGCAATAATCAGTCTTCATCTACCTAAGCTCATTTCAGTGTATTCAGTCCAACATTTCTGAACAACCATTAGCTATTCTTTAACTAAATGAATCATTTTTTAACTATCATTGTTTGTCTTGCCTCACATTCTATCTAACCATTTATCTTTAAAAACTCAGTATGTAAAAAAAAAATATTAAAAACTACACAAAAATTAAACGAATTTTTTTTTTTTTTTACAAACTGTAAAAACTACACTACACAAAAAGGAAATGAGCACATTACTGCTGTTTTGTGAAGTGACCACTAGAGGCAGACTCATTGATCTAAAAGCACCCTGCCCCCAATTTAAAAAGTTGTGTTACGTGATTACTGCACATGGAAAATATGTGACAGCTGTATGACTCTGAATAAGTCAGTAAAGCAAGTAACAATGTCTTTTTTTTCTTCCCTTCAGCTTTGAAGTTGAAGTGCATCCTACACCCAAAGTGACTGGGAATGCCGGGAGTCTAAGCCTGTGAAGTTGAGCAGACACGTGTGCAGTATGGAAACTGTTCTTAGTGACATGGAAATAAAATTGCAAAGCTGTTAGGATGACCCAGTGGCAAAAAAAAAAGAAACTCTGCACTTTCCACATACTTTCCATCTTTCTGAAGCAACGCTACAGTCTATTTTTGTTGATAATTTAACACGGGGGAAACTCCAAAATGCTGATTTCTTAGAGACATCTTGTTTAGGTGTTGCAGGAAAAAGGTGGGCGAGAAGTAGCCGAAATATCTTGGGCAAGAAGCTTCTGGCTCTCGGCCAACTATTCTTAAGAAGTGAATGCTGTGACATGCAAGACATCGGTAATTAGAGAGAAGTTTGAGCCACGATGCCAACGCTGCTCCAAAGCAGACGTCTGATGTGGTGGACTTAAAGGTGAAGTCAGCAATTCTAATCCAATAAACGGTTTGTCAAATTCAGCAAATATCTCTGTATAGTCTAATAGATGTTCAATGTTCAAAAGGGGGCCAGCGGGATCCAGAGCGACAGTAAATCACAATAATAATATAAATATTCTAACTAGGTAAATATGAAAAATCTTTCTCTATGACTGTAGACTCCACCTTTACCTCTGTGCTACTTCGTGTAGATCATCACCATTAACAAGAAAATGCTTCAATCTGGCAGAGGGATCATTGCTAAACAAGTTAAAGCAATAAAATGTTTTTGTTTTTAAAAAGCTTTAAGGATGCGAATTTGTATGAAGATTACAATTCTCTATATCTAAGGGCAATTGGATGTTTTTCTCCTAGTCATTAGATTCACTATCTGATCGCTGCTGTCGCCCCTATTAACACAAAATGCACAGTAACACCCTTGAATGTGCTATTTTGTGAGAATTTCAGAGCTGCCGACATAGTTTTTCTTTAATTGCTTACAAAAAGTTAAATTCTAAAAGCTAGTGGGACTCTTCTTTTGCTGGTCTTGCACATACATCCAGAGTAACTGGGGCGCGGTGTATAGCTATCATGAAGAAACTGCTTCTGAGTCTTGTTTTAAAAATTAGACTTTTTTTTTTGTCTATATTTCCTAAGTCAACACTCTGTGACACTGATCACACAGAAAGCACATGTTGACGTCAGCTGCTTTGGTCAGCTGTGTGGACAGGATGTGGTGAATAACATTTGCTGTCTGGCTTTCAAGACACTCTTCATGTGCCATTATATCATCTACTCTCTTTTAATATAAAACTCCTTCTGGATCAAAAGACGACCACATCAAGCCACAGAAAGAGAGATTGTCAGACCAGCAGGTAGGAAAAAGACAGAACAAGAGGGAGGAAAGCAAAGGAGGATGCCGGGAAATGAGGATGTAGTAAAGAGAAGAGTTGAATGATTCAGCTTTAAGTCACTATCCTGGCCAGGCACCTGGGATGATGGCTGATGAAGTCAGACTATGGAGTTATTCCTCATCATAACCCACAGTGAAACCAACAACAACAAAAAAAAAACTTCAGAAAAGATTATGAGATATAACTTTAAATAAATTCCACAACAACTGGCGCATAACCCATATTTAATCCCCTTATCGTAGTGAAGCTGATGAGCTCTTGAGCCTTCCGACCTGACGCTTTTCTGTAGGACCACCACAGCTTCAAGGTGGCTTACATTCATGCCAAACCTAACGGGAGATAAGAGGCATTTGTAATCTCTCCAATTAGGTTTATCTACATCTGCTTCATCACTGAGAGCCCACCCACAGGCTGCCAACACAGCAGGAAGCAGCTGAACGGTAAGGTAGGCGTGAACGCTAGCGGGGAATGTCCCTGCTGAAAATACCTCATATATGTTCATCTGATTCTACAGCACTGGAAGGGTATTGTTTGGAAAAAATTCTGCGATTACTTCATCTGGTGCTAAGATGTCTGGCTCAAAGCTGACAGTTGAAGGTCTCCTCTACGCTTAGAAAGCCTTGAGCTAAAAACTTATGAAGCAAGTTGTGCTGTGGCTGGAGGAAGTCAGCAAAGTCATTGAATTACCAATGCTTTTTTACTTTATTTACTGATTGGACATGAATTAACCCTTTGAACCCCCAAATCCACCAGCAGGTTTGAATGGAATGTCATCATTAAAAAACAATAATGATAACAATAATAAAATATGATTAACTTAGCTGTGACCAAAAGTAATGAGACAAAAATTCAGGGACAATTTGGGAAAAAAAGGTTGAACTGTAGGCTGTGTTTGAATGGAGTAAATAGGACACAAGTATGGCCACACCTGTGGGCACTTGGAAAAATGCAGTATATGGTCAATCCAGGTGTTTGTTTTTTTATATTTGCAAAATAGCTTATCAAAAAACTCAGCTTTCATTGTTGGTTTGTTCTACTGCACAGAAGTCTTTTTTTGTTTCTGAACATGACTGCTTTGTTTCCATAGGAGGTGCAGGACTCTCTACTGCAGTGAAAAATGAGCCCACAGTGAGTAGAAATAGAGATAGGTGCAAAAAATGCCCTGAAACTGCTTGGGGTTCAAAGGGTTAATCCAAACATTCATAATATTACCAAAGAAGTAGTGATGGAGATAAATATGAGCCCTTATTGAAAGGTAGATCTTAGGTTACATCGTCCAGCCATAAGCTAATTTTTAGCACCAATATACCAAATCTTCACTTTACTGTTTCCTCCTTTCATTTTACATAAGCTATCTCTCGTCTCTATAATGAAAATGCAACTTTACTGTTTGTGTCAGTTGAGATTACAGTATGTACGGAGAAAGAGCATTTATGCTGCTGTAGTGGGGAAACAATAGGCCAGCAGTGGCCAGATGACATAATACCCATAAACGTTAGCAGTAGAGAGCAGTCCTTTTGCTTTTAGCCAATCTGTGTCCATTACACTACAAACGTTACTATTCATAGTTGTACGTTCTATTTTACTGTGAGGTGTAACCAGCAGAGGGGGTGCTGTGATTAAAATCAATTATGAGTGTGATATGAGCAGATTTATGTGTGTTCTGTTGGCAGCCTTTACAGGCTCAAGACAGTCTAATGAAATTCGGAATGAAATACTTTACATTGTTTTAACATTACATTTGCAACCTCAGAAAAACCTTGGTGGGGCAATAAAGCTCTTTATTTCATTGCTCATGCTTTGACCATCCTAATCAATTAAAAGGAATTTAATCCAATTAGGCCTGACAGTATGCTTTGCCTAAATTGACTACGTGATCATTAAAAGCAATTGCCTTTCTGGATTTCCTGGAGTCCACGCTCTTTAAGCTCAGATGTGGCTGGGGCCCCAGATTCATTACCTTCAAAAGAGGAAGGCAAACTAGGATACTAATGAGATTCCCTCCTTGTGCAACACACACCACCAGCGTGACGTTGGAGAATGATTCAGACATTTCTGTGGTCATCAGTGCGGTCGTCGCATTCATCACTGTCCTCTATTAACTTCATTTTGACATTTTCCGACTCACTCTCGCACAATATAATTACCAGTGTCATATGGGTGGAGCACAGAGAGGCTGCCAACAAGTACAAAGCCAACAAGGGGATAGTCTTCTACGATGGGGACAGTGCTCATCATTGCTAATGAAAAAAAAAAATCTCCAAGCACCTTAAAATGTGTACTGCCCACACACACACACACACACACACACACAAACACGCTTGCTTACCTGCAGGTCAAAGAACTTGCTGTAACGTCTGTAAATGATTTCTGTGCTGCCATCGCTCCAGGACACTTTGATGATGTAAACCTGGAAGAGCAAAAGACAAAAATAACTTGAACATGGAAACTAACAAAACAGCCATTATTGTGAGCCACTTGACTTCTGACTCACAGTGCCAATAATTGGAAGTGCTGTGAATCCCAGTCAGGGCTGCATTAGCGAAGGCAGACAACAAACATATCTGGAAACATCAGGCAGGAGTCAATGCCATCATCCGTTCACATGAAAGCAACAGGGATATCCGATTATTTCACTTCCTAATGCATTTGCATCACATCCTGCTGAAGAGGGCATTATTACCCTGTAGGGATGCAGCAAACTGACTACACTATATTTTTTAAAATGGTTTATCGCTCAGCAATATTGGAATGGCAGGCATTGTGACAAAGAAATATAAAGATGTGTGTTTTTGACCTTTGTAACCTGGTTGGCATGACGATACATTTTTAAGAAATTACTTATAAACGTGTAACTACATGTTTCACTCGTCTCATATCAAATGCCACAACACATCTAATCACTGCAGGTCCACAGGCAACAGATACAGCTTTTTTTAAAAAAAAATTTTGTTCTCAAGTGAAGAGGGGGAGAGAGGTGGGGAGGTGATTGGAAACTCCCCGGTGGCTTGCTGTGTCTGGCTGAATGCTGCTGGCCTCACTCCCAGACCTGCTCTGGCCTCGCTCTCGCTTTCAGGGCACTCGAGTCCGAAATGACCACAGATGAACCAGCTATGGGAGCCTTTTTCCAAGCAGGGTTACAGTCTCCATTAAATGAAAAGAGTTAGATCCCAGAGGAAAATGTGCTTAGTCCTTAACTAGTATAAACTGAATACAACAGAGGGAAATCTTTACATTAAGATAGGTCATCATCAATGGCCAAGTGCTAGAATAAATGTATCCCCAATTAAAAGAATGAACTATTCCGTGCAAAACAGGGCATTTCTCTTGCTACAGCTTAAAATAATTAAGACAAATATGCTCTGTAAACTAAAAGTACAGCTATGGCAAATGAGGCTGAAGCCAATAAAACTGTCTGTGAGAAAGAAAAGTAAAAATATAACTTTTCCTATCATAGCTCTTATGCTCAATGGAACGCTACCGTTGGCAATAAAGTGCTCTCTTATGAACGTCTCCTGAGAATGTAATTTTTCTGGTATTTTTTTTTTCTCCTACAGGATACGTTCAACTCCGATGAGCAGATGAGCTTTAAGCAGCTTTTTGTTCCCTTTACCACACCTCAGGGTTCTGGAAGATTTATGCTGTCAGGCCTGCATGTGTAGAGAGAATACCAACAGCAAAAAAAATAAATAAATGAGTAAACAACATGGGCTGTACCAGAGAGCAAACAGACAGATGGAGAAGACACAGGACCACAAGAACTGTGTGTCCTTGACCGCTAACACTCACAGCGGTATGAAGGTCTGTTGGTCCTTCGACCCGGGTTTCATTTTCACACATATATGGATGCGAACCAACATATGCATATGAGCACACGAGCTGACACGCACGCCATGTACATGGAAATAACACAAACACCTGCTAAGGCCTTGGCCGTGGCTCTCATTGTTGGCACCGTCCATCAGATGATGTCATATGTGTTACTGTGCACTGACTGTCTTTGCAGGCAAATTCACCCACATTCAGCTCCCACGACTCATTTTCAGACAAAAGTCATAAAAGCTCCATTGTTTGTGAATTTCAGAAAAGCTAGAAATGAGGCTTTGTCTTTTTTTTGATGTTGTTGTCTCCCACACAAGCTCTGCACAAAAAGGAGAAACATCCCCATGGTCTTCATCCTGCTTATTCTGTCCCTTTTTCCAGCCTCCATACACAGTTGAATGCCAATAGAGGGACACAGCTAATGAGATAATCACAGCATTATCACCAGACATGAGGTTAATTTCTGAGAAAAAGTCAAATTACCAGTTGATGTGTGAACTGTGCTGCAAAACTGAAGTCATAAAACTCCAAACGCTGCTTAACATGTGTTACTGTTTAGGCCCAGCCCAACTGCAAACATTGCCTTCAGTGCGATGACCTTAGAAAATCTGTTAGTTACACTTCCTGGTTACCACTGCCTGCAGGTATGGGGGCTTTTTTTGGGAGTAAATTGGAGAGCCTGAGGCGTGACAAAGCTGGGGTGTTCAATTTGAACCCTGTCCGCATAGGGATTAGTGTGGATGGTGTGTGTACTGGACTGATTTGGCTTGTTGTGATGTTTTCTGGGAGTGATGGCACAGACATGGCAGCAGGCAGATGAGCAGATTTTGTTAGATTCAGTCTCCGGCAGTGAGGTAGCACAAAGCCTACATTCACGTATATACATGTGATGCTGAGAGGGAAGGGTCATAGGTCCCATGAGCCAGATACACTTGAAAACAACAATAGTGACCTGAGGTTGTGTAAACAGATTTAGAACCTCAGAACCAAACAATGTGAAAACCTCAATGAACAACCTATAAATGTCCTTCCTTCACTTAACAGAATGTCATAGTGGTTTCACAATGATTCATCTAAATAATCTGAGGAAGTTTACAAAAAAAAATCTCGTGCTGTGAAACTTGTCCATTTCTGCTGGCTTGGTAAACTGTAACTTGACACTCTCTTTGTTATTACTTTTCCCAACAGGAAAATGAGCAGAACTGCAGAACAGCCTCGATCTGTTGCTCAGTCCGAGCAGCAAAACTGTGATCATTACAAAGAAAACAGGCTTACGTAGTGTTTGTTCGGATTCCTTCGCTTCTGGACATCTTGCACAGTTACTTCGTGCACGGTGCGCCGTGGCATGATGTCCTCTTCTTTTGCGGTTCCGTTAAAAAAAGAAAGCACAGAATTCCCTGCTGGGCTTTTTTTGGGAGCGATCACACCCGGTGGAAAAAGTTTCCGACGCGACGCTCCTTTGTCATCAGGTCCGTGGGCTCTGATTGCAGCAAACGCCGTTTTCCGTAAAGCTACAATTTCCTGTCCAACGTTCAGAAGTTAGGAGTCGGTCGGGTTTCTTCGCTAACGCCGCTTTGCCCCCTCTTTTCTTGTGCCTTGTCCCGACCCGCTGACGGCTCCAACCAAACTCCCAGCCTATCCCAGCTCGCCTACTCCCATTTCAGCAGCTGGGACGCTCCATTATGCTGGCCGGACCTGCCCCTCCAGCGTCACAGCAAACCGCAGGCTGCAGGATCACTCAGAGAAGGAATCAATCCACACACTTAAAGCCGTATCGCCGGATCCGAGCAGTGGGATCCATACCAATCAAATACGTTCAGTATCAATAACAGCCAGCTTTGAAATGGAGACTGAAATCAATCTGACAGTCTCTGAAGCTGCGCTCAAAGGCGACATACTCAGTTACACTAAAGCCACTTTGTTTCGCCTAATGTTGCTCAAATTTTACTGTTTGTTCCAACTTTGTATATAACACTTAAGTGTAAAGTTATTTTAAGAGAGCACCTGCCTCCAGGTCTGTCAAATAAACATAATACATCAGATGTAGCTGTGTTTCTGAATATAGTCACCCTGACAATATTTAATTATAAGTTAATATATAAGTGGCTAATTTTACAGTATATTTCATCCAGCTTGCACTTTTATTAAGTTTGCATTCACACAACTAAATCAGCACTCCCACTGGCTTTGCACCTTAACCATTTATTTTTGACTAGATAACTAGCGCTAGCCATTAGCTCAAAGTATGCTTAGCTTGCTAACACCTATTATTTAACCATTGTTTTAAGCTGTTTTAAACATTTAATGTGTGATTTGACAATGTTCTTTAACCTCCAACAAATTATTAGTATATTTAGTTTTTTGGCTGTTTTAAGCATTCAGCGAATTATTTTGAGATCAATTTCAAATATGTAGCACTAGCTATTAGCTTAATGCAAATTTAGCTCACTAATACCCACCATTTAGCCGTAGCCGTACATGTAGCTATCTATTTGAACCTTTTACTGTATAGTTTTGACAATGCGTCTTTAACCTACAACAAATTACCCCTAAATCTACTTTTGTTTAGCTGTTTTCAGTGTTTAGCAATTACTTTTGAGACCATGTATTTCAACTAAGTAGCATTAGCTTAACGTACATTTCGCTCACTAACGCCTACCATTTAGCCATTGATTTTAACCATTTACTGTACGATTTTGATCATTTCTCTTTAACATACAACAAATTACCAATAAATCATTTTTCTAAAGCTGTTTTAAGCATTTAGTAATTACTTTGAGGCTGTTTTAGCCTTTGTATCTAATTTTAGTTATTTCAATTACCGCAATTTAGCAGTAGCATTCATGTTGAGTTAACTGTTAAGCTTGCTTTTTTTGCTTGTTTTGGTACGTTAATAGTTAGAATACATTCATTTCAAAATATCACTAAGATATTATGACTGAAGTTCTGCATTTTTAGCTAATTTTTTAAGGGGGGATTTTTTTTCTTTTTGTCTTTTTTCAGATAGGCACTTGCCTTCTTTCCGAGCCTTAAACTACACCTAGATGCTGGCAGGTTAGTGGAGTCATTAGATGCAAGTGCTAGGTGCAATTTTGTGCCAAACAAATTAAATTGACTTCATGAAAGTATTGAACTCAGGAACCCAGGTTCCAGTTTTCTTTTATATTTTGCTTTTTGTTGCACTGGATAACAGGATAAAAATACCATAGGCTAATGTGAATTTTGGATACATTTGTGATTTCTACTCACATGCCATCACTTGTGCTTTCTAATAAAAAACACAATTTACTTTTTATCCTAAATCCACCAAAAGCTTTCTATTGTCAGCTAATGAGAAAGGTAAGTAATTACTGAGTATATTCCTCATAATTGGTAGACAATAAAAAAAGAAATGATGCTATAATTATCTAGTTTGACTCATCGGGCTGCATCACATGATGTCTGGATGTGGCAGTCATAAGATGATGTGGGTGATAAACTGGAAGTGTGCTAATTTTGTTTCAGAAAAGTGCTTTATAAGGATGATGTTGTCATTGTTTTCACCATGGTGCTACAGATTTTGCATTTACCTGTAATAATTTTATTAACTAAACATAATTATAACTATATTTGTACACTCCAAGGCTAAGTCTGAGAGTTTATTGGCAATTTTGTTGCAAAATAGCTCCATCTTTTGGCGTGTTGTACTCATTACATGAATATTGTACATGTGGCACTTGTGTCCTATCACACACACACAGCCCTTGTAAATGAATTTCAGCAGATTCATGTAAAATTATAGCTGCGGGGGGGACGAACATATTATCACAGTAAGATAGAATTCAGATTAATGCAATGAGGAAAGCAACAATTTATTTTTAGGACTGGTGATGAAAATGTGTGACTCCCCATTTAAACATGTCACCTCCTACGTTTTGCTTTGAGCTGGGCTGTAACAAAGAAAGACCACTTTAAACAAAAGCAGAAATGACACTACATTTATTGCAACGCTAAAATATAAATACATCATGTAAAAGGGTAATGTGAGTCCATGTAGATGGAATATTTTTCACAGAAAAGGAGAAGCAGAAATAGTTGTGTATGTTTAAGTCCTAACTTAAGACATGTTAATTTTATGTGATGTTCAGTAAAAAATGCTTACAATGACAATACCAAAATATAGAAAGAGGCTCTAAAAAAAGAAACGGAGGAAATGGTCATAAAGAAAAGTTTGCAATCACAAGCTTGTAATAATGATATGCTTTTAATACATTTCTATTACTAGGGTAAAACATAATATAGTCTAGTTCTCAAAATGTGAGACACTGGTTTTAAAATGCTGCATGGAGAACAAAGATATCTATCTGTGTACTAAAGAGAAAGAACTTAAGATCAGAGTTGATGAATAAAAGTGCCTTAGAACTAACATAAGTTCTTCTAACCATCTTTAGACATTGTATCTGCAGCTGTTAAGGTGATGGGTGAGGGGCGACGTGGACGAGGAAATGTCACAAACAGTTATATAATAGATGAGAATCAGAGGTCATATGAAAGGTGAAGGGTCAGTACCATCACACATTTGCAGCTCCAGATGAGATGTGATGCCAGAGAAGTGTTCCTGCAGCGGCAACAGATATCCCAAAGCTTCTCCCTGAGCCACGGGGCCTAAGTACCGGTAAGGACGGATGTTGAAGATCTTCACGCAGTGCACTGGGTGGGACGGAAACAAAATCATTCTGTTTAGGATATTACCTCCTAATATCAACCCAATGCCTACTGCATCTAGGTTTGTTTTGTTTTTTGTCACAGACAGGTTCTAAATGTCAGCAATGACTCGGTTAGATTTACAGACATACTTGAGAGTCGTTTAAAAGAAACAGGCATATTCACGCCAATGAAATCAAGTTGCTTACATTATTTTTCTTTCATGGAGATGATTTCTGTGAAATTGAATCACATTTTTCCGACTTTAATCATTAGATGGAGTGGATGCAGTCAAGTTGAGGAAACATCTCAAGGGAAAGCAGTTTCACAGGTAAACACATGTTGAAAATTCCAGTCAGTAGCTTATTAACTAAATAAATCATTGTGTGTATATAGTAGAAAAGTAAGGGACACTTCAGCAAAGCAGTTTAAGAGTTTGCACAACAGGATAGCACACCTATGTATCCTCTTATCGCCTGCATTAACTTTTGAATGTAGCGATAACTGACATATAATTGCTAATTTAGAAATCTAAAATTCAAGACCATAAATTAAACCTGCCTTACCGTTCCGCAGACAAAAACAAACAAGCTGCCAACTCGGAAACAAACAACCTGAAAGTAGGCTAGTCGGCAGCAAACTCCACACCATCATTAAATCCTACGAGCTCCTAATGATCAGTGTCTCAGCATTAATGTGGGTATCATGGCGAGGTAATGTGTCTCTGTGATGTCTAATCATGTCTGTGGTTTACTCGGAGATGAAAGGACCTGACAGTACATGTGTTCTTCTGATAATACAGTTCAATTAGGGGTAGAAGCAGAATGAGGACTAATGATGTTTACTCATCATTCCAGCACCTTGCTAACTCACTCTCTAAACACTCACATGAGCATGTATATGCACACAAATATACACCGCACAGGCATGCATGGATAAAACACAGATGCTTTGTTCTGTAATAGTGGCCCTTATGGGGGTCATTACATATCAAACAGCCGTCGATGGACGGGTTTTGCATGAAGATGGGTCCTGGTGTTAGAGGCATTCAGGAGTTCAACGGAGTCTCAGCTCATCTTCGAACACCTTAAATAATCCCTGTTAACCAATGCTTTTCATCCACATGTAATGCCTTCACCATGATAACCTCGCCTTGCCTTTGCCCTTGCCGTGGCCCCGTACAGTATAGATTAAAGGTAAAGTTATCATTTTCTATTGTAGAAATTATCTCCAAATATTTGTAGATGGATGTTTTTTTTTTAGCAGTTTTTGGACATACTTTCAATATTGCTCTTTAGATGGTCCACTTGGGTCCCAACTGATTTTTTCTCAACAACTGCTGGATGATTTGCCATTGAATGCTTCAGATGGTCATGGTTCCCAGCAGTGGCCACAGCCACCCCCCCAAAAATCTCAATGGCCGCCCCAGATCTAACAGTTCATTCACTGAAACTCCAATGTCCAAGTTTCAGTGAATGTAACTACAGCGTCTGAGCACTAAGTACAGATAAATATAACAGTTGTGCGTAGGTGCAGGCTCTTGGCTATGCAGCTCGTCTGTAAACATCACAGAGAGCTGAAAAGACACAGTTTACATAATTTTATTTGACAGAGGTGCACACAGATCTCAATAATGTCAACAGGGGCTGAAGTTTAGTTTGTTGCTCCCAGCTGTTTGTACCGAGTTTATTCAATACCTGCAGCATCAGACAGCAGCAGGAAGCATATGAGTGTCTCCGAAGCAAGAAAAGGTATGCATATTTATGCACACAAAGCAACACAGCGGTAACTTTATGAATTATTTGTAATTATATATTATCTCCCGCATGGAATCAGGATTGATCAAGCTCTTACAGTAAATGCACTTTTCTACACGTAAGACAGTCACAGCTCGTCAGCTACAGTTAAATTATTTGTTACACAAGTAAGGATTCATCATAGCTGGATATTATTTTACTGTAAAAGTCTGATCCATTCACTAAAGTCATATTTTTATGTCATATCAAGTTTTCCTATTTGGGAGAAGTTTGCAGAAGTCACAATAATAAGTGTATATGGATCTGTAAACCGAATGTGACCTCTTGAAATATTAAAGTAACGACCAGATTATGGAAAGGAGTAGCCAAGTAACAATAAAAACACATTTTATGGTGCCATAAGTTGCTGTAGTTGAACAGATTATCATCATCTGTGTATCAAGGATGTTTTTCATATAGGTTTTCCTCTCAAATAGAGCAGCATCTTCTGCTGGGCTATTTTGAACAGAGAGCTGATCTCATAACCAACATTCTAGCTGTACCTGTAATAATCTGTGCACATCAGGTAATTAGTGACATTGACTGTGACTGTGAAATAAGAAACCAAAGCATATCAGTGCGCAATTTCATAGCTCTCTTATTGACAAAGTTTTCAACCTTAATTCTACAACGGATTTTAGGCCCTTTAAGATTTTGCGTAGCTCCACCAGCAGGTTAAACCCTTCACTTAACTGAATTATCTCTACATCGACCATATAGATTAATTAAGACTTTTAGATCCCCCTTTGGATTTGTTCGACACTATGAGAAGGAAGGGCACTCAAAGTGTCGATTCGAAGTCACTGTTTGTTTATATGCAACATATTCAAGACTTGATCGTATCATTTTAAATAGTAATTAGTAACCTCTACAAGTTCATTTCCCTTGGTGCACTCACTTTCAGGCAACGCATTGATATCTTGTCCTTCTTACCATCACTGAGAAGTTTGACCCCGTCATAGTGATTGCCAGCTGGGTCTTTCTGACTCACTGGACCCGCCAGGGACCCTGAGAATGGAGCGTTGATGATACCGTAGTCATCACACACCAGGTCCACTGCTTTATGGAGGCCATTAACTCTGTACGAGGAGTGATAGAAAAGACTGGCATTATATTGCCATCTTAAAAGGCCCATTTCAATTTGTCATATTTCATCAATGTTGTCAAACCCAAAAAAATATAATGGATGATATGGATTAGCGCATCTCTGCTCCAGCCTTCCACCCAGACAAAGCTTGACTGACCATCGGTACAGCTCTAGTACAGACTGATAGTAAATTTTGTAGGTGAAGTGGTGCTAAACCTTGAAATGATGTCACCTCAAATGGCTGCTAAAGTCAAAATGCTTATTTCAGTTTCTCTGTAATGTGAAGCTTTTGCTTCTACCCAATAACCAGGTTGATCACACAGCAGGACACGACAGAAGCAACATCATGATCACGGTAGGAAAGTATGCAAAGTAGACACTGCTGCATTGTTAATATCCCCATGTTGAATGAATAATCTTCAGAAGTAGAAAAAAAATAATTAAATCAGTAAAAATCACCTTTTGGAATTAAAAGCTCCACAGCCGTGTGTATCGCAGGCCCTGATTCTGTTGTTGTGGTGACCAGCACAAAGGACGCTCCAGGCTCCTACTGAACAAAGAGGTAACATGTTAGTTAATACTTTTACCTCCCAAATCACACTATATAAAAAAAAAAGCTGCAGCATTGCATACCAAGGCTATTTTTTAAAAATATGTTTGAAAATCCACTGAGTCTGAGTCACCTCATGTTCTATTCATGTGGAAATAAGGCCAATTACAGCAAAAAGGCACTATTCAAATGTCATTTACTGATGTCTTTTCCAACAGTGGTGTGTCAGACACTGATACAGCCGCACACCCACAATAACATTTTTCTGAGTCAGGCAGGAAAGAAAACCCTTTTAATTCCTGCTTTGGCAAAAAAAAACAAAAAAAAAACAGCAGTGGTTTTGTGACTGTTTGTGTCGAACAAAGTTTTTGGGAGGTATACCTAGTGTTAGCATTTGTAATACTGGCATAGGTTGGTATTTGCATGTGTATCACTGTACCTTGCATGCAACACTGCCTCGTCTTAGCGCCCGAACACTTGTCTTTTAAGTATCGGCCTTGACAGACGAATCGCTTTGGCTGGCAGATGCCTCCAAGTCTGGTGCAGCTGATGTCACTTCTTAATGGCACAGAAACTCTCTTACTTCCCGCCTTTCTGACCTTCTTTCTCGGAGTCACAGCCTTAGGTCCCCTGTCATTATCGGCCGTGTAATTTCTCTTCACCTTGATGCTGGTGTCAGTGTTCTTGCGAAGGCTTTGAAACTCTTCACTTTCCCTCTTTTCATGTTCTAAAGCACAACTTAACAGCACATCTTAGGGAGAGATGAAAGGTACAGAGAGTTCGAAATAAGAGAGTTAAGGAGGGAGGATTAAAAAAAAAAGAGAGAGAGAGAGAGAATGACTTGAAATAACTTTCTAGGTTTAAGGATTAAGTCCAATTTTTTGTGAGATTGATAGTGGGGAGTACCTTGAGTTTAGTTTTTTAGCTAGAAAACTGAGGCCACAGATTTTCCTCCTGTTCAGATAGTACCACATTTAAACTATTATTCAAAAGGAAACACAATTTGATGTATCTATTATAGCACATATTTAACTAGACTATCTACTAACTCATTTATATACATTACAAGTTAATATATAGTAAAGCTGAATTCATTTTCGGTCTTAAAAAAACGTTAATAACCAACCACAAGAAATTCACATAATCATAAGAAATTAAACTAAATTAACACTCTCCAAAATTTCCTGATGCAAATTTGGTCTGCTTTAAAATCTCCTAAAAACCCAGAAATATCAAAAGCAAAGCTCCAAAACACATCTTATAGTACTTAACAGCTGATTGGTATTAATGGAACAACCTGAAAACCTCTTATGATTATGTCCACGACGAGAATGCTTTCAGGAGATGCAGTTGCTCGTGACATTTTCCTAACTAAGTCACCAGGTAAGTCTTCTGTCCTCGCCTGGGCCCACTTGTTGAGAACTGTGTTCCTTGTCCATATAGACAGAGAGAGTCATAGTTCAGTTATTCATAGTGTGTTTAATTCTGACAGCATACTAATTATCCTGCCCAGACATGAGTCTTTGATCTTCATTAACCTCAGAAGCACGGAAAATATTTCAATCACGCTGCCCTGGCACAGGAACACACACTGGGCTCAGTGATTGAAAGAAGCTGCTTATCACCAGAAGGCCTTAATGACTGAGAGACAGTCAAGCAGAAGGGTTGGCAGTGGCATGGAAAAGCAATTTTCCTCAGCAAGACAGAGGAATTTTGTGACAAAAATGTGAGCGTGTTTGTTTCCTTAGCGAAATTAGCCTGGACTAGGGGAGTTTTGGTGACTGGTTTGCTGACTGGTCGTGCTACATTATGGGGCAGCTGTGGACATTCTTACTTTGGTATTAATAGCTAACCTGGACAGATGAACACAGAGACAGACATGACACTGATTGGCTAGCATGTGTCCATTAACTCCATTTGACTCGGCACCTCTCGCGGACCTGCAGAGTTGCGCCCGCCGTGCGGCATGAATCATTTTTATCTCAGTAACAGGATGGCTGTCTCATTTTCGTGTCGCTCAACAATCCCCCCAGAGTGAGAGTGCGCCTTAAGCTTTTCAGTAAGATGCAATGATGTAATGTTGCATTAGGCATTCAGTCATGCTTTAAATGTGTCATCCACTTGGGCCGACTCACAGTCACTCCAGCGATAGGCCCGAACCCCCCAAGGTTTGTGTTTACAGGAGTTTACAGTCTCCTAATAGGGCTCAGTTCATGCTAATTTGTAGGGGCATGGAGACATTTATACGCCATTTATTGTTTCCGTAATAGGAATCTTATTAGTGTACACTGCTGAAAGGAAAATTGCGGTGTGTCTACAAATGCGTGACCGTAGTGTGTGGCTGTGAGTAGATATTTCGTCGACATGCATGTATCTCCGTGTTGGTGTGACCAGCTTCACACTTTGCAGCAGTAGAACAGGCTACTTACAGCACACCAGAAGTGCTGCTGTGAGATCGACCCTCAAGAGCATTCTCATTATCAGATGATCAGGCCAGAACTAAAGACAAAATACAACGAGAAAACTCATTCAATCTTGTAAGGTAAATATCACATATGTACCATTCTTACATAAAGCAGCAGATTAATGCATATTTTAAGGCTCAAATCAAGTACATACTGACACACTGACTGGACTTTTATAGTAGAAAATCTGCCTCAAATCTCAAGGGCATGACAGAAGCAGTCCAAATACCCATTACTAATGGAATACTACCCAGAATTTCGAGTGAGAGAAAATGAAAGTATACGTACCAGTCCTATGGAGAAGCTGCAGTGTGGCTGCAGGCACAGCGGGTAGAATCACAAAGCAGGGACTGTTGGAAAACCAGCCCGCTGTGGAAGCTACAGGTCTGGACCGCAGGACGTTCCCCCCACTGTCAATATTGATATTGGCCTTTAGAAAACACACCCATTTACTGCCGGGAGAAGGGAAACTTTATTGACTTTTTTTGTCGCTATACTGAAAGTGACTCAGAAGTGTTACTGGCCTGTTTGCTTTGCTTCAATAAACATTAACTTTCAATCATACAATTCTGATAATATTAGTTATAGAATAAATGACATGTTTCCCTTTGAGCACTTCACTATTACAGTTATATTGTCTAGAAGAACCAGTAGGTGATGGAGAAATGTGATATGTATTATATTATTAGAGAGTTATACACTATTTAGCCGAAATATTAAAACCGCCTGCATAATATGGGTTAAAAACATCTTAATACTCTTAATGCATGGACTTGGGACATCTGGGGCTGCCCTGTGTTATCTCACTGGAATGCTGGTAGTGGATCCTTTGGGTGCTGTGAGCTGCAGGGTGGAGCCTCCGTGGATTGGATTTGTTTCTTCCCATGGGTGCTCGATTGGATTGGGGGCGCTTGGAGGCCCAGTCGTCTAAAGTAGCATTTACATGAAGGCTAACCCAAGGTTTTCCAGCAGAACATAGCACCGTAACATCCTGATTAATGCCATTCACGTCACCAGTCAGTAGTTTTAATGTTATGGCTGAATGAGCGAGTTTCATCATGATGCTCTCTTTTCTTACATCTTATTTCTAGATCTCCCAGAAATGAAGTTCATGCAGCAGTAATTGGTTTTCCCAGGTAGACTGTGGTGGAGAGTGTCACCGCCGCCTGCATTACATTATGCGTAGCTGCAGCGAGCACGCAATAAGGGCTCCGACTCCTCACGTGGCTCCAATAACACACACTCACATAAGCCCATTAGTATGTGCAGTGCAGTCAGCAGGCATGGCTGTTGTGTCAAGCCTAATGAGACAACAACAACAACAACAACGAAGGAAAGGAAAAAAAAAAAAAAAAAGAAAGAAAAGGAAAGAAAAATCATTATACTCTACACATGAGCCTGGCATCTATTATGAGATAATTAGCTTTAAGGCCTCACACAAGGCAATGAAAGTCAATCAATGGTATGAATTTCCTGCTCTCCCCGTGGGAGTGTGAAAAGTAGGTACACGGATGAACACAGTAAAGCACGTGGATGCGGGGTATTAAAGACTTGGCTTTGAGCAGCACGGACGGTGCGAAAGCCGAGGACAGCAGATCAGATTTCTTCAAGGTTATATATACATGGTAATCCAGTTCAAAGTGTGTGAATGTAGCGTCTCTTGAATAATTGGCTATGCTGAAAGCACTTTTCTTGTTTATTGGTCTTTATTTCAGAGATGTTACACTAATTGTCAAAAAAAAACAAAAAAACACTAAACTCCTAGCTGGCACGATGATGATAAAGCTGAGTTTGTAATTATGCTAACAGATGTGCAACCCAAACACCCCGACTTGTGTTCTTTTTAAATTGAACAACAGACATAAAAGCGATGTTCCTTCACCACAGCAACACGGAATTAAACTCCAGAAACTGTGTTTGCTCATTTAGCTTTCTCTCCATCTGTACGTCCAAGAGATATATGTACATCTTTTTTTCTTCTCTCTGCTGATGTATTGTGGTGCAGAAGAGGTCATGGTAGAATTTGAATGCTTTTATTTTTTACCTCTCAGGTGGTTACTCCGTCTGAATTACAATTTCCTGAGTGGAGGAGAGTGGACTCAATAGCAGCCGATGAAGAGTTGAGCCTTTTGCAGCCAGAAAGCTTTGATAATCAGATATCTGTGCAGAGGATTACATTGATGGACCATATGGCTTGGAACCTGAAAAAAAAGGAAAAAAGAGAGAGGGAATTAGGGAGAAAGTAGACTAATAAAAGACAATCAAAAGGAGAGGAGAATAATAAGAGATGGAGATGGAGAGGAGGGGGGGAGGAAATGATGAAGTGAGAGGTAAAATTTAGGAAAAGACAGTCGAGCAGACAGAATGAAGCAGCAGAAACTCCCAGCCAGCCTGTCTGCATCCTAAACACTCTCCGCTCAGGCAGAAGAAGAAAAGGATGGTGTTGACTCTGTGAGAACCCCTTTGATAAACATGGCTACTTAAATAGAAACATGCACCACATTTTCCAAACTCCTGGGAGCATAAAACTGACATTTCACTCCTGCTTCTCTGTCAGTTAGTTCTGGCATTTCAAGGAGAAGGAGAAGAGAAGCCACAAGTGTTTCCTAGCAACAGTTCGCTGCAAAAACCTCCTCCTCCTCCTCCTCCTCCCACCTGCTCTCCTCCGCGCACACACACACACACACACACAACCTCCCCCCCACTCCAAAACTCCCTCCTTCCCCGAGATACGAGTTGCAGCAATGCACCACTCGCTTTAGACCTGAAATACATTCTAATTCTCCCGACTCTCCCTCCCTGCCTCTCCCTCCTGTTCCCTTCAGCAGACTGCCAGGCCTGCATCAAATGACATTCAGGCCCCCTGTCATCTGTAAAGAAAAAGCACACAAGCAGGTATGTGAAGGTGAAGGCTGAAGCGCCGACAGACAAAATAACCGAAACACACGCGGTGATATTTCAGCATTTTTGCGAGCCGAGCCGGGCACTAGACATGTGCCTGATTTTTTTATTTTTTTTTTTTTCCCAGCAACTCTTTACGGCTCAGGTAAAAAAGGAACAGCTCACAAAAACAGGCTTGTGAAAAGGCTCTGTGGTCTGTTCATGGACTGAAACTGCTCTGAGGCTCTAAATCAGCTTTGGCAACACGGCAGCCCCAGTCACACCCACTTGGCTCTGTTGATTTGTAAACATATTCGTGGGGCTTGGGGAGCGGGTGTTTAGCCAGCCTGAGCAGACAAACAGAGCGCCGTAGGGTATGGGA